CAGTGAAAATAAATTGCGTACAAAACACTTTTCAGCAAATTAATTCCAGCTAAAATAAAGTATTTTATAGTATAATGAGCTGTTTTTATGCATGTTTAACAAAGTCACTATAATCCTAAAGTATATTATGGTCAAGATCTCCTCTCGTGTTCTTAGCTTTCTATTCTCTATAATGTGCTATCGTGCGGACCAATAACACTGTTGAAATCTGAACAGTATGGCTGAGTGGTGACAGGTTGTTAACTGAAATAAGCTTTCATTGCGTGTAAAACTCGAACAAGTAATAAAGAACAGTCCCCATGTGTTTTATTATTATTATTATATACTGTGAATCAATGGTTCTATTTTTCCAATAGTGTGGCAGAGCCATTTCATACTTGGTGAATGTGATTATGAGGATTGTGTGAAAGATGTGACCTTTAATCTAGTTCAATATATTGCTATATTTATAATAGTAATATTATTTTTAGAGCCCATGGGGATCTTCTTTTCAACTTGACAGTCAGGCTCTGTTTGTGTGTGGTATGAAATTTAGGTCACGATCTTTCTTCAGTTAATTCCAAGTTATCAAGGAGTATGATGTTTTGTAACAAAATAATCAGTTTATCTGAGACTGCATTATACTAGAAAAAAAAAATTGCTCAACCTTTGGGTTTCTACCAAAAATTGTGAAAATACAAAAAAAGGGACTTTTATAATATGTTGCAGAGATTTTTTTTCCTTTTTAAGATGATTGATTGATATATTTTCTTCTTGAATCTTTTGTCTAATGAACCGCAAGTTTCATGATTTTAGTGAAGTTTTCATTCCTCGTGTGATCATATAAATTGAAGGTAACCAAATTGTTTATTGAAAATACGATGGTACTGCTGGTATTGTATTTGTTCTAAAAGTCATGGTAGAATACTGGATCATTCATTACGATACGATATGACATGCCATGCCTGTTTTTAGTGTAAATTGTGCATGTACAGTGTAATTGCCATGGTACAGATTTGTTTTGATATACAATGTATTGTGTAATATTCAAGTATAGGTGTGGTTTGGTTTAGTGATTCTTAATTCATTGTTATTCAGAAGTGTCTACTAAGTAGGTTGCTGAAAGTTTGAATGATTTGCAGCGTCACTGTAAATGATTGGTAGTTTAAATTTTATAAATTTTTTGTTTGTCCGGTTTTTATGTTCGATAAAACGCAAGTTCTTGCAGTGAATGGAAAATGGTGTATTTGACCTTGAACAAATGTAGCAGTATACTGTGGAATACTTTATTTTCGCTGGAATTAATTTTCGCTGAAAAGGCTTTTTGGGCGTTTTGTATGGAATTTATTTTCACTGATTTTTGATGAGTTTAATGTGAAATATAGGAAAAAAAGTATATTCGCTGGATTTTATTTTCACGGAATCATTCCTTCAGCAAAAATAAAGTATTCGACAGTATATTTATTGTATATGGCTGAATTGGTAGAAGGGAAGTTATGCTAGATTTGTTGAGTGATGGAATAATTTTAGTCAGGTGTTGGAGTTTGTTTATAAACATAACAGTTGTTTACATATGGAGGCAAAATACAGAAAAAGCTTAAAGAAGAAATACTGAAGTGGATTTATAATATAATAATAGTTTTAGTAAAAATTAGGTAGTTAAATTAATAGGATTACAGTGTACTTTTTACTAGATCAACCTTATACTATTAAAGGAAGAATATTTCATTGTAGATGAATTCTATCATATGAAAACAAAATGAGACTCCATGTAGAACTAACAGTACCAGTTGTTTGACCAGAACTCATGCATCCATAAGACCTATTAAGGGGAAGGAATGAATGTTGGTGCTACATTTTGCTTACTGTATTATGGCAGTTTTTAGTAATTTTGTTGATGATTTTGAACAAAGTGGACATAATTGCCTAATGAGTAAAAGTCTTGTTCAAAATTAAAAAAAAAAATATGACAAAAAAATTATGCGTATTTTAATTTAATAATAGTGCCAAATGTTGACTTCGATGCTGAAAGGGATGAGGATGAAATATTGTTAGCTTGTGTGAACAAGATTACGCCACAGAAATGTAACTGAAGGAAAATAACGTGTAAAATGATCTCCTGTTATCCTTACTTACTGGGGCTATAAATTTGTTTCTGTATAACAAGCCATCAATATCGTCTGCTAATTGACTGACAATTCACCTGTGTTGCAAGCAATGTGTTCTCTTCTTGATTGACAACTGAAAAAAATAACCTTTCCAGATATTTGCCTTTTCAAGTCATTGTATTAGGGTAACGTGGGATTCAAACTTTGATGTAAATACAAAATGTACCATTTCTTGACCCCCCCCCCCCCCCACACACACACAAGGTTGTTTAGTGAATCTAAAGGTCATGAACCATTATCAGCATCCCTGCCAGAGGTGATCTGTACCTAGAATAATTTATGGCTCGATTGAGATTATTCTATTTTAATGACACATACTCCAAGGTGAATCAAGTCCCAGGATAGTGTACTATGATTTTCTTGTTTGTCTCGTCCAGTTATTTTGCGTCTTGTAAATAATCAAGTACATGTACTCTGGGCTAATGATAATTGTTTGTGTGTGCAGATATATATAAGATTACCTCCATGATACCGTAAATAATGTATAGACCCCATCGTAAATAATGTATAGGACCCCATCGGAGTACTGAATTTTGCTGTCAACAACAGATTATTAGATGTACACGTAGTTTAACAAAAACATCGCTGCAAGTACATTCTAATCATCATGCATAATTGTGTGGCTTCTGCTCTGAGCTTTCTGCATATACGGTACTGTAATATACTTTATTTTAGCTGGAATTAATTTTCGCTGAAAAGACTTTTTGGATGTTTTGTATGGAATTTATTATCACTGATTTTTGGAGAGTTGAATATAAAGTATAGGAGAAAGGGTATATTCACTGGATTTTATTTTCACTGAATCATCCCTCCAGCGAAAATAGCAAAAATTAATTCCAAGCAAAAATAAAGTATTTTGAAGTAACTAAAACGAAATAATCCTAAGAGTTCAATCAAATTCATAGGAAAACATGACTAGGTGTTATCTGTACAGTAATCTGTAAGTTTTGAGTCATTAAATAAACACTGAAGCATGGTCAGCTCACTTCAAAGCAGTTGCATACACAGTAAGTGTGCACTGTGGTTTTTACCATTGGTGTATGTTACAGACATGTATCAGTCATGCATTCTAGTGACCCAATCAGGCATGTTTGGTAGCCATCCAGGAAGCGTTCATGCGTACAACATGTATCCAATGCAATAGTTGGTTTACATGTAAATACTTGTCAGTAGGGTTCGGGCAGGTTGAAGTCTGCTTTCTGCCGGTGCTTGTTGCAGGGTGGTTGGCATAATCGATAAGGTTTCTTAATAAGTAAGCATCTCTCGCGTAATAGTGGAATTTGACAAAACATTTATACACTGTATTCATTGTTACCATCGTTAGACGTGCATCTCCAGTAAAAGCTCCTAAAAACCAAGAGATTACCGTTGTTGTATACTGAATTGTTAAAATATGACACACCACATTCATTTGCATACTAATAGAGCATATACTGCTAGAGGGGTGGAATAATTTTTACTGGCAGAAAGGTTCACTGAAAACCGCTAATTGGGTTGATGAGTTATTTTACTGTCACTAATTTGTTCAAACTCCATGTAAACCAGTAGGAAAAAATTTGACAATAAAATTCAGACCTTCCTATCGACATTATACCTATTCATTTGTACCCTAGTTTTATTTTCAATGTTGCCAGAAATATTGTGTCATCATGTGGCAGTCAATGAAATGTAACACATTGACTGATAATTACAACTGTTATAAATGGCTATGCAGTGTGCAATTTATAGTTATGATTGCAAAATGGAGATCTGTACTTATATTCCTTATATCTTAAACAATGCACTCAGTCACATCAAGGTTTTACTCAGACGAAAATAGATACACTTTCCTCCCAATAAATTCAATAACAATTTGCAGAAAAAAAGACATTGTGTTATGCCTGTCAAAAATATTTACATTTGAAGTTCTCTAAGGTATGTTCTCTAACGGTTGAACATCATGGATCCTGATAGCTGTAATTTCTCATGGGGATGGGGCAAAACAAATCCAATATCAATAAGGATTTCTTTCAAAAAACGATTGTAATATTGGAAATTATTCCTTTATATGAAAGTACGCCAGGAAAATGACAGGTTGTATGAACTTTGGGGTTTTTATTATACGAGGCATATTTCTTAGCTGGTTGAAACATTTTCTGTGTTTTACAGTCAGGCACTAGTAATTGAATTGAAGTACACTATGTACTTCATTGATACATATGTTGTATCCAGTTAGATTATTGTGTATGTGATTATATAATAATAACCGCGACAAAAGAATTTAAACGTTGAATTGGGGTTGAATAGTATTCAGTATACTATGTGTGGTATATTTTCTATTAATTTTCACCGTTGGAAATCTTAGGGGTGAGGAGTAGAAAAAGAATCTGTACACAAAACATGTTAAAAACAAATTTTATTGATGACATTACAAAAAACAAACAATTCATAAAAAAGATTTGAGATAACAACATGAAAAAAAAATAGCTAAAAATTAAGTGAAAAAAAAAATTATTTGCATAGTAGATCATTTTCCAAACCCATATTGTGTACTGGTCGACTCCTCAGTCAGATTGACAGATGGCAGAGTTGATGGAAAATTAGCTGTTGAAATATTTTTATGTAAACAACAATGTTTCCACGTAATGTTTTTCCATACATTATGACCAGCGTATGTCATTATGGCTACCAATCTGTTAATGTTCGATGATACATAATTTTATGATCATCAATGATCTGTAAAATCTTTCTATATTACTGTGCATACAGTAGTCGGTCTCACTGGTTTTGTCGTAAAATGTAATATTCCTATCATTTGTGTCATGTCTTACCTGTAAGCTGTGTTTATTTATTGTAATATTCTGTTTTTTACAGGGGAAGTCATGCTACAGATAGCTGCCACACTCAGAGATATTGAAACACAACGAGAGCTGGCTGTAAGTACAACATTTATTAGTATTCTGTTAGCACTATTGTAAACCTTCCATTATTTGGACCAGGATGACCTAATTATTATAGAGGTCGCTGAATTGTTATAAAAACAAGAGCATTGTCAAAGTTTTTTTAATCATTGGTAAAATAAATTTAGATGTTGATGGAGTAATTTAAAACTGAAAAAGTGTGAAGTACGGAAACAAAAAACAAAGATTTGAAGGTGAATAGTTTTATTAATAAACAGAAATATCAAGATGAAATATCAAGAAAAAATAAGATGGTCCAATTATTGGGAATGTTGTCAAAACACATCAATACCATAGCACCAAGGTTTTTTTTTTTTTTTTGCCTCGTAAAATGCAACTGTCATTGTTAACGCATTCCAGTGTATAAAAAGAAATGTCAACCTGCCAAATAAATCGACAAAAGTGTTATTTCAAGGACATTCTTACTATGAATAAAGCAAATAATTTCATTTGATTAATTTGAATACCTAGCTTTAATTTTAGATATTTATTACGATTAGATCATGTAAAATTAATGCATGTTTTGTTTTTTTGTATACATGTCCATGACACCGGTGACGTTATTCTTCAGGGATGCGCTACATTATCAATAGTCTTGTGCTTACTCTTGTGCTTGATGTCATTTTTGTCTGTTGTTGAGCAGTGCTTTGCTCTGTTTTCGTTGCAAATATTTCCTTTGATTGAATCAGTAAATGTATTTTTGAATATTCCCACAGGGCACTGACCTAAATTGTAATTGTCCTGTGGGTATAAAATCGTGGTTGCAAAATGTTTTCAAATTGGATTAAAATTAGTTTTTACCGAAGTAAACTTCAATTATCTTTTAAAAAATTTAAATACTGTAATATACTTTATTTTAGCTGGAATTAATTTTCGCTGAAAAGACATTTTGGGTATTTTGTATGGAATTTATTTTTACTAGTTTTTGACAAGTTCAATGTAAAATATAGGAAAACTGGTTTATTCGCTGGATTTTATTTTTACTGAATTGTTCCTTAGCGAAAATATCAAAAATTAATTCCAAGCGAAAATAAAGTATTTTACAGTACCAAACCACCAAACAGAATGCCATTTGAAGAACTAGTGCCATGCTGGAACTGAATCTTAGTCATGCATAGACAGATTTCAGTCAAATTTAGATGCATCTACATTGAACATTATAGGACCTTGCTTTGCATGTCACCTTGTTTTTCAAATGGAATTGAAATGGCCCACTGTCAGCCATTATGTTTTAATGAATACTGTTCCAGAGCCACATCTCTGACATGCTGAAACTGTTCATGTTCAAACTTTATATATTTCATGCCATGACTTGTTTATTTAGCTTTTTAAATTGCCATTAAAATAGTTCTTTTATTTTGATGTTTTTTTTCCTCAAATTATAACACAAAAAAACTAAACAATTTCTAATACACTTGTAGCAGATATATCCATGTTAGTAATTGGAGTTGAGTGGTGCGGTAGTTTGAGCTCTGAAATTATGTTTCAATATCAATATTATATCTTGAATAATTTAATGAAGTGCATGCATGTAATTCGGCTAATGAAAAAATTTGAAATTTCGCTTATACAAATATTTTAATCAGTTTACCACCAATATGTTTATTTCTGACCTTGTATTTTTTTTTGCAGGTACATTCCTTTCACAAGGAACTGTTGATACCATTAGAATCTACTGTTGATCAGTTACATAAAGATATATCCAATAAACAGAAGAATTATTTACAGAACAATAAGGTTAAGTCAGAGGTAAATATTTCACTTTTCAATGCTGTACCATGTTTATGCAACATACAATGTAAATTACCATATTTTTATATAAACATTACAAGCTCTATTCGGTATACAATTATATCCATAAGGCACATTTCAAACCATTGATAAATTGTCCCAATGAGAGTTCTCTTTGAGATTAAAGCGAGAGGGTCTTCACCTGCGCACGTGCAGGAATTGAGTCCAAAGCGACGATAACAACACCCGCTAAAAACAAAGGTTCATGGGTAAACACTTGTTTGTAAACATTGACACGCTATGGCCATCTGACGCATGTGCAGGTGACGACTCCCCCACTTAAACCTCTCATT